TTGGGGTAAGACTCGGATGATGATGATGATGATATGTACTCTTTAAAGTAGTGACCTCTTTATTTATAGCCAACAAGCAATGTAACTATATTAAAAATATAGTTGCATTGCAAGCTGCTATTTTGGTCTTAAAGGTGGGGATCGAGCTCCCTCACAGTGGGATCAAGATCCCAAAATTTTAAAATTGAAATCCCTGGATGATCCCTTTTTTAGAGCGTCAAAGCGAGACTCTAAAGCCGAATCACCACAAAGGTTGGGAGATTCCAACAACTATGATTCAGTTGAAGTAAACACAATTAAAATTGATCATATGTTGGTTTGATCTGAGAAGCATTGAGCAAACAATCAATTTTGTCTCTCTCAATGTTTCAGAAGCAGATGCATGGCCAACCTAGGCATCGGCTAGAGGTCTAGCCACCTCACCTAGGACAAGGTGGCTTGTCCTAGGAGGGCTAGACACCACCTAGCACCAGCCACAGATTTGCTCTTACACGAGGATGGAAAATACCCTATTAAGGACATTTATTTAATTCCCTTCTTTTTTACTCCCTAACACTTAAATAACCTAGAATTTTGTGAAGATTTTTGCGATTGACAAGAAATTATTTCTAAAGATTTGGATTCAATTTGAAGTGATCGAATTGGGATTTGTAACTTCAAGGAGGAGAAAGGAGCTTATGAGCCACTTGACAATTAGCTCAGTCAATCAGATTTTGTAATTTATCGATGTGCGTTTTTGCAAGGACTTTTAGGGCCTTTCGATTTTTTGATAATGACTTCTAAAGGATCAAACTTACAAGGGGATCCAAGACGAAAATATGGTTATTTTTCATTTCCAAAAGATAGAATCAAGTTTGTTGTAGTTTTTGCTAAAAGAAAACTACACACGGGGGCATGTTTAGATTTAATAAGCACCTACCGAGCTTATGATAGAGTACCATGAGATTTGATTTGGCAGGTGTTGGAAAAGAAAGGAGTCACCAGACCCTACACCGACTTTGCGAGAGATATGTATGATGGAGCGCTAACTAGTGTACCAACAACTAGTGGAGAGACGAGTGAGTTTTTAGTGACAATAGGTATACATCAAGGGTCAGCATTGAGCCCGTACCTCTTTGTCTTAGTTATGGACGACTTAGCTAGGCACCTACAGGATGAGGTGCCGTAGTGCATGTTGTTCGCTGATGACATGATTTTGATTGATGAGACCCGAAACAACGTCAACACAAAGTTAGAACTCTAGGATACCAATGCTTTAAAATTAGCCAGACTAAGACAAAATATGGAATGCAAGTTTAGTAATAATAGGAGTAGAGACGAGGAAGTAGTTAAGATTGATGGCCAAGAACTACAAAAAAGATTGCACTTTCGATATCTTGGGTCGATAATCCAGGAAAATGGAGAGATTGAGGAAGATGCCACATACAAAATTAGAGTTGGGTGGGTGAAGTGGAGATGTGCAACTAGAATTTTATGTGTTCACTACATACCAATGAAGCTGAAGGACAAGTTCTATAGGACAGTTGTGAGACCAGCTTTGCTTCATGGGGCGGAATGTTGGGTAGACAAAAAACAATATACCCATAGAATGAGTGCAGCAGAGATGAGGATGTTGAGATAGATGAGTAGTAAGAAAAGAAGGGATAGAATTCGACCCTTAGGGAAAATTTAGGTGTGGCACCAATAGACAATAAGATGAGAGAGCAGACTTAGGTGGGCTGGCCATGCGTGGCACCGAGCCAGTACAACATCGATTAGAAGGTGTGAATTAGTTCAATTGGAAGGATTGAAAATGGTAAAGGGTAGGCCCAAAAGGATGTGGTTGGAAGGAGTTCGAAAAGATATGGGGACTTTTGGCCTCACTAAGTCTATGGCCTTTAATAGAGTAGAATGACGGACCAGGATTCATGTAGCCGACCCCGATTAATTGCAAAAAGGCTATGATAATGAAGCACCTACCGAGTTGTTGTTGCATGTGAGGATGTTGAGATAAGAGAGAGTCAGACCTGCTTGGAGTTTAGAAAGAAGAAAAATGACGATATAGGCAGCATGGTTAGTGAAGATTAGAGGTGAGGTTAATGTGATTGGGGAAGAAGATTATGGGGAAGAAGATTATGATGGAGTGATTGATGAAGGTTCTTCCAAGGGAGTAGGCGAAGATAGTTTGGGAATAAGAGACCTCATAATAAGGTAACGGTGGATTTTTACATTAACGCAAACCCCAAGGCTGTGTTACGAAAGAATGGAAAATTGAAGAAGCAAATGGCTGAAAAAATTGATACAAGTAGGAAGATCCGGACAATGTATGTGAATACATTGTGTGGGGAGTACACCAAACTAGCATTTCTTTGAAGGGAAATTTACATCTAACCCCTAACTTGTAACAATCTACACAAAACCCCCAACCCTTATGATGCAAACAACAAAACCACAACTTCTTTCTTCTCAACAAACCCCACACATGGCTTTATAATTAAATCTTTAAACCAAACCATGCTTTTAGAGAGTAAATTGCTTGAAACCCCACATCTACAAGAAAGCTAACTGAAACTTCTCTCTAGTTCTCCTCCTCCTCTTAACTCACTCTCTCTATCGAAAAAACCTACTCTTTCTCTCATAGCCAGTGTTTTAAAAAGCGGACCGCCCAGCGCTAGGGCGGCCGCTTAGGCGGTCCAGAAGGCCTGGGCGCATCGCCCTGCCCTAGTCGGCCAAATTAGGCGAATATCCCTTGGCGCCCGGCTAGGCGTCCACCTGAACCTACCGAGGCGCCCTCCAGGGTGGCTGCACAGGGCCTGCGCCCAGCCCAGGGGTGGAAATGCCCCTCGTTGAGGGCATTTTTGGGTTATTGTTTTAATACTAAAGTGGTAAAATTGTGGGTTTTAGGTTCACTTGAAACCTAAAAACCATTAGAGCCTATTACAGAGAGAGAAAAACCACAAAAAAATTTCTACTGGCCAGCCCAGGTTCTGGTCGCCCGCCTAGGCGCTGGGTGGCCAAGACCCCCCCGACCGCCTAGGTGCCGCCTAGCGCTTTTTGAAACACTGCTCATAGTAGATAAAAACAAAAGACTCCAACTCTACATAAAGGGCTTAGATAATCATGCTCCTCAATGGCTCAACTTGATCGAGATTTGGGTTGCTCTCAAATCAATCATTGAAAAACATAGAGATTTGGGATTTTCTCCTAAGTTTCTATTGGCTCTAGAAACCCAAAACTTTGGACACTATAGTCTGAAAACAACATTCATGTCACTCAACCTAATAAAGGCTTTCTCTTCAAATCTCTCACCTCGTCAAATCTTTGGAATTCACAATCTGAAGTTAAGATTTTCCTGGACCCATCATCCGTTGATTGAAACCAAGTCAAGAAACTAGTTGAGAGCTTAGGGAGTCAATTGAGCCAAATTCAAAATGATGCAGCGGTTGACCTCAGGCTCCTTACAAAACATGAACGAAAAATCGAGTCCTAAATATCGATTGCTGGTCCAAATCTGATCGCTCCAAATAATCTAAGGCGGTCATCTCATTTGAATCATTGTCCCTTGGTTGGAGAGGACTCCCCCTCAAGTTAAGCCATTATCACTATAGGTCTCCTGCATAAGGAATTAAGTGCTTGACATTGAAAACATCAGAAGTCTTCATATGGCTTCGTAGCTTTAACTGATAGGCACTGTCATTGATCTTCTTCAAAAATTTTCATGATCCAATCCACCGATTGCTGAAGTTATTGTACTCCCCAGCAAGATACCTACCTCTAGTCAACTTAGCCCAAACATAATCTTCAACTTCAAATGCTAGCTTGCAACGATGCTTATTTGTAGCAGCCTCGTATTTAGCATTACTGCCTTCAATCTGCTTCTTTAGCTGCTCATGAATGCCTAAAGGAGAGCATAAGAAATGCATGGAGCTCAATGTGGATGTGAAAAAAGAATTGTTCTTGTACTATAGTTGTGGGACATTGACCATGAAGCATGAAGGGTCCTTAGAATCATGGGATAGAATAGAGAATAAGAAATCTTTTTCCTGTTTTTCACTTTGTCAAATACATGCCACTGTTTCCCTTATGCAAGCAGTCAACAATCCTGAATTTGGCTTTGTTGGTACTGAAGTATATGATGTGTGGCTATACTTTTCAGTATATAAACTTCTTATGATCTGCTAGCCTTTATGATTTGCAAGTGAACATAACAGCACTCTAGGAAGTGATAACCTAGTCATGTCTAAGTTTTTTTATGGGCTTGATCGGAAGTGCAATAAGATTACCCTCCCTCAAGAAATCCTCCGAATGGATGTATATGGGACATACATTTCTTGTCTTTGGCTAATGAAATAATTCATAATTCTGTTCATATTTAACACAGCTTCATACCTTCATCTTTCCAGATCGATCTCCTATGTTGAGGCTCATGTAATCTCCTTCAAAATTGATGTCAATAATCATTCCACTATGCTCAATATACCAACTTTTTATTCCATTAAAATAGAGGTCTTTTTTTCATTTGAACATCCTACCTGTTCAACTGCTCCACAAATATTAGATATTCTTAGTTGTTAATAGAGCTATATCCAGACATGTTTAGATCAAGCCACTGAAAATCATTCACCTTGATGAGCTCAAAATATAAATTTTCAACAGTCACTCGCTAAACATAGGAAACACCAGAGAAGGCATTTCAAGGGCTTCTGTTTAATTCTTTTATTTTTTGAACCAAAGACACATGTATACACTGTTTGCCATTTACACGGCATTTATGGCTCTTGAGCATTTGTCTGAAAGTAAGTTGAAGCGCACTTTTTTCCATCTAGTTTCTGCTTATATTGCAACTTGCAAATGTTATGCACACTAACAGAAATGAGGCTTACTTTAATAGAACTCTTAAAACTTAGAATAACTGGCTCGCAAAGAAAGCCACTGATGCAATGAGTTACATCCACATTTTAATGGTGCTATTTACGCTGATTTTTAATCTTTGTAGGTATTCTTCCATGCTTTGGTAGCAGGTATAACATACCAGAACTAGCAAAAAGGTACAAGGTCTATGCAGTAGACTTACTAGGATTTGGATGGAGTGAAAAAGCTATTATTGAGTATGATGCTACCATATGGAGGGATCAAGTAGCCGACTTTCTAAAGGAAATTGTCAAAGAACCAGCAGTTTTAGTTGGGAACAGGTATACACTCAATACAACCGGCATTTAATGTTCTCCTTCTCAATATATATATATATATATATATATATAGGAAAAGGATCTTGTCAGCCTGTGGGCTGATAGCTACAGTGTCAACCAACGGCCCAGATTCAATCTGAGCCCAATCCAATGGTCACGACCACATTTCATATTTGAATTTTCATTTTTTTTCTACAAATCCAAATCATTTGAAATTTTGATTGCCTATTCTTTAAAATTAAGAGAATCTAATAAAAAATAAAAAAAATAATTTGCAAAATATAAATTGACCAAAATACCTCTAAAATTTTATATT